CGTCTTCCCTCCTTACTGACTTGACACAATTTTGATAATCCTCATGTAATATCCAAGCCTGCTCGAGTCTGAACGGTTTGATCACTCCTTTGGATTGAATACCATGGGTACAAATAAGGAGGGGGTTATGGCGAGAACTTTATCTTTTGCAAAACTCTAAAACAACTACTTCAAGAAAGCGCAGCCTCCAGTTCAAATTTGCCAAAGCTTTGTCCAATCTCTCCAGCTCCTTTCCTAGCTCTGAATCCTTGCCCCACCCATGTAAACTTGCTCTCTGCTGCTCCCAAGTCAATAAGCCCACACCTATTAATACAATACCGAAAATTATTAGCTTGTCTCCAATTAAATATTCCTCCCTTTTTTTCATCAACCAAAATAATATCATTTAGATCTCATGCTACCAACTAGTCTCCTTTCATACTTTTATACATTTCCTCCAAATTATTCTAGAGAATTTTCTTAAGCTTCTCATCTAGACTAGCATAGGTAGGGGTAAAAAACCAACTCCTTTCCTTATAAAATGAAATCTCTTTGTGAATGAATTGGGAGTCCTTTGCATGAATGGTCACCATAACGGACTCCTTTTTCCAAGCCAACATTTTAACCCCACGCAAATCTCTTTCCTCAACAAACTCCAAACCATCAAATCCTATTGATTTAATCGAACTAAAAAGTCTTTGAGGATGTATTCTCAGCTCCAACAGAACAAGCACCTCAACCCGGTTGTTTGCTAGAAAGAGTTTACAATGTCTAACAAAAAGCGTTATCACCCGCCCCTCTACAATTGCAAATAAATATATTTGTAGAATCCTTAAACATGGGTAAAAAGAAATAAGTGAGCCCAAATTAGCTCAAAGAATTTGCATCTCATTGCAGTTAGCTTCTCTCACATTTATAACGCGTTTATTCCCTGTATCACAAGGCTTTGAAAGCTCGTCCAGCATTCCACTTATAAAAGTCCTCATTTGAATCAGGTGGGCCTTTGGGAAATAAACCCACTAAGCCTTGTTGTTTGAGCATGGGCCCACTTTGGGCTACCTTAATTAATTCTTCACTTGGCTGGCCCATGCAATGTTCTCCACCTTTAAATAATTCCTCCACTGGCCCACCTATTAAAATCATTACCCACATTTCTTTAATCATATCACAATTCTCCCATTACCCATACACCATCATTTCTATTAATTAATTCCCCCCTATTATTTAATTCCCCCCTTGCACTGCCTTCAAGTATGTCATTTTCGCCCCTATCCCTAACGTTCCCATTTGTAATAAAAGTCTCCCCCTGTTAGTCCTATTAAATGTCTCTTTACTTTTTCTCACGTATTGTCCTTTTCACACTCAATCAACTCTTTTTTTCTCTCTTCGGAAGCAACAATTTTTAAATTATTTTTCTTGGCATTTTCTTTCCTCTTTTAGTTATTCTCTTTTTTTTCTTCCCACAATCTTCTTGCTTCCTTTCCCCTGCATCGTCGAAATTATGCTTTGTTTCTTTCTTGAAAAAGGCCAGCTAAACTATCTCCAACTTCCATTCCATCTTCTCTTTCTTGATGCAACACATGGAATCTCGAGCCAAGGCCTGCCAAACATCCCTCTCCAGTCCTGTTCGTGATCCCCACTCCTGCACCTAGTTCCCCTGTTTTCTCCTTACCCTTCTTCAACCTTCTCATCCTCTATACCAATGACCAAGGGCCTAGCGCCACATGTTCTCTTGAATTTTCCCACAAAATTGTGATTCCTAGTCTGACGTGAGAGGTTCTCACTAACTAAAATCTCTTGCCTTCTCTCCGTGCATGCTTCCTTTCCCTGCATCGTCGAAATATGCTTTGTTTTTTTCTTGAAAAAGGCTAGCTAAGCTATCTCCAACTTCCTATTCCATCTTCTCTTTCTTGATCCAACACATGGAATCTCGAGCCAAAGCTTGCAAACATCCCTCTCCGATCCCGTTCATGATCCTTACTCTCTGCACTTAGTTCCCCTGTTTTCTTCTTACCCTTATTCGACCTTTCTTATCCTCTGTACCAATGACCAAGGGCCTAGCGCCACATGTTCTCTTGAATTTTTCCACAAAATGTGTGATTCCTAGTCTGACATGAAAGGTTCTCACTGACTAAAGTCTCCTACCTTCTCTCCATGCATGCTTCCTTTCCTTGCATCATCGAAAATATGGTTTGTTTCTTTCTTGAAAAAGGCCAGCTAAGCTATCTCTAACTTCCATTCCATCTTCTCTTTCTTGATCCAACACATGGAATCTCGAGCCAAGGCCTGCCAAACATCCCTCTCCAGTCCCATTCGTGATCCCCACTCCTGCACCTAGTTCCCTTGTTTTCTCCTTACCCTTCTTCGACCTTCTCATCCTCTGTACCAATGACCAAGGGCTTAGCGCCACATGTTCTCTTGAATTTTCCCACAAAATTGTGATTCCTAGTCTGACATGAGAGGTTCTCACTGACTAAAGCCTCCTACCTTTTCTCCGTGCAACCCTCTACCGTGTGGCCATACTTACCACAGCTGGAACATAGAAAAACGAGACCTTCATATTCTATCCTATGTGTTCTTCCATAATTTTGAATAACCCTAAAAGAGGCCGTGGACAAATCAATTTCACACAAAGACGTGCATATTTCCCCTTATAATCAATGTTAAGTGATTTTGAACTTTTCAACCTTATATATTAGTTTATTGAGCGAAACTTTCCTTTACACTATATATTTAACACACCAAGCCATTTCAAAATCGATGCAAGTTACCCAACAAATTAAATATATAAACTCAAATATTGTAATTTCTGAACATTTAAAACATAAAAAAGCTAAAATATATGAACTCAAATATTCAAAGAAATAATCACACAATTTCCTGCCTTGTTATATTCATCACAAAGTGGAGACACAAGCCTTTCCTTTTCCACAAACATTGTCTATCTACAGACCTAAATGGTCAAAAAGCCACTCTGCTTCACAGGAAAGAAAAAAATGGCTTTTGATTAATTGTATTCAACTAGCTTGCCTCCTTATTGGTTCATCAAATATGCCTTGCAAGTCACAATATACATTTAAACATTCTATATTTGCTTCGCATAAACACCCCATTACCCAGATTATTATGGGATTGCTTTACATAATCAATAGATCTTTTTTTTTTTTTTGGGGGGGGGGGGGTTCTTTTTTTAAGAGAAGTAAAGAAATTGATAAATAGCCACGTGCTTTTTCTCTTGGCATCAGGAGACTCGCATCATAGTTAGAATTTTTTTTAAAAAAATAAGAAATAAATAGATATTTTATTTTAAAAAATCAGAAACTTTTTTTTTTGGTGAATAAAACTGGCAAAAAGCAAAGCAATAGCTATGTCTCCAAGGGAAAGAAAATTAATCATCGTGGAAACACAAGAATAATTTTTAGTAGGAAAAAGATGAACAGCTTCTCTTTTGGGGGGCCGCGGGGAGGCCGGGTTGAAGCACGCCACAAAAATTGTGAATCGCCGGTCTGAGGTGGCAAGAATTCATGGAGTTGGACTCCAGATAAGCTCATCCCAGTCGTCCCAAGCATCACTAGAGTTAAAATTCAGGTCGTTAAGACTTTTAAATGATATCGCGTAGTCAAACCAAATTCATCTATGTATATAGAACCGGTGTTGCCAGAGATCAAATGCCGTCTGGACTTTAGTTATTGTTATTAAATTTCTATGCTATTCTTTTCTCCTATGGACTAGGTGTAAAACGTGCTTGCTTGGCTTGGTGAAGTAATGGATTTTCTAGCACTTATAATTGGGATGTTAATTAGTCGAATTTTAGTTTAAAATTAATTTAATTAATTCTAATTTTGTTTTAATTTAAATTTAAATTTTAATTTCAATTTATTAAATTTTATTTGATTATAAATATATATAATTTAAAATAAATAGAATGAATATAAAATTAAAAAATTTGATCCGTTAAAAAATTTTAATCTGAATTTCAATAATATTTTTATTAATTAATAATTATATATAATGTTTATAATTTTAAATTTGTAGATATTAAATTAGAAAAATTAGATTAAATTCAAATTTTTATAAAAAATTAATATTTTATAAATATTATAAAAATGTAAATAATGCCAATTACAGTCAAAAGTCGGGACTATCTTGGATGGAGTTATCCGTACAACCCTTCACATAACAAAACCAAAAATTTGTCAAAACAAATACGGTATGATTCATTTCATGCCAAAGTTTGCTTTTCATTTAAATTTTTTTTGTATTTTCAAAGTTTTGCACACAGACCCCAGAAGTCAACAAATTCCATTTGATACAGTATAGATATAAAATCCCTAGACGCTGAAGCTTTCAATCGAATTTTTCTTCACGTCATAATCTTCCAAAATATAATCACAATTCGCAGTTATGGAATCTTGTATAGATTTTGAACAAATTCTAAAAATTCAATCAACTGAGAGAGAGAGAGAGAGAAGTAGACGTAACAGCTGAGGAAATCCCATGGCAAACATAATAAACTGAAGTACAGAAATTTTTGTTTTTTACACAACGGACGGCCAAGATCACAATTTAAAGCAGCAATCTGACGGTGACCAAGACTCGATTTAATTTGAATCAGTCAGGGTCCCATGTCACGTTGACAATCGTCCCTGCATGGAATATCTCGGTGCGCGAATAATGCAGCGTAAAAAACGTGACTTGGGATAAAATTATAATTACCAGTAAGATAAGGAAAATCACAGGAATAAAAGTAAGCAATGGAGATGGAGATCAGGAAATTAAGCGATAGTATTATTTGCAATTTAAAGCTTTCAAACTATAGACCGAAACGGTTTCGAATTCCCAAAACGTCGGGATATCGTAAAAAGATCGGCGGCATATCAGCATCCGCAAAACGCAGAATCGGTCATAGCTAGCTAGGCTATAGGCCTAAAACTACACACTAATTCAGAACAAAAGCAAACTGGTGATAACTTTCTAGGGAGAGAAAACTGGAAAATGAAATTGAATTAGAAAATACTGCGCTTGCCGGGCTGATCGGCGGCCTTGCCTTGCGCGTATTATCGATGAGCTTGCGGGCCTGGCGGCTGCGGATCTCGACTTTACGCTCGCGCTCTTGTCCATCCTTACGTAGGGCTTCTTCTTCGACTTCTTCAGTGATCTCACCTTCGACTTGATCGACTCCACCAAGTTCTCCAATTGGATCGCCATTTTAAAACCTTTCTGCACTTATTTATACGCTTCTATATATACGATCTTGAATCAACTTGATTCAGAGCATTTCAGACTGCTGCACAACACCACCTGCTTCTCCGTTTTGAAGCAAAAAGGCAACAAACACTAATCGCACTCGGATACAAAGATATAACTTTCTGCGGCTCGAACAACTGCGGCTGGTACGTGATACTGGCTAATTTTAAGGAATGCACGGCAGCTGTCAGCTGTGCTATTTTCACCGCAGCTTCTCTCGCACGCTCGATATCCAATGAAATTTTCTCGCACTCCTTTCCTCGTGGTTTGTTTTGCTTTGTCTTTAAATTGATGTCGTGGTAAAAGAAGGCCCTTCGCTTCCAAACAATTTTACGGATTTGCCGCTACGGTTAGTTTGTGACCGTGCCGACCCGACGACCCGAGTTCGGAATTCCCATCCGACATTTTTGTTTTCCTTCTTTGTTTTTGCACAAGCAGGAATTTTTTTGGGGTAAATTTTGTATTGATATTAATAAATTATTTATTATAATATATTTTTAAAAAATTATTTACAAAAAATATATTATATAAGAAAATTAGTTCTCAACTAAAAAATTAGATAGAACTTTGTTGTAAAACTTCACCCTATAAAATTTTATTCGTAAAATTCTACAACTAAGAGAGGGAGAGAAGGAAAAAGGAGAAGAAAGGAGTAAGAAAAAAAGAGAAAGGGAGAGGAGAAAAAAATAAGAGTATTTATGGAGGTTTATAACAGAGTAAGGGAGATAAGGAAGAAAAAGAAAATAAGAGAAGTTCAGCCACTGTCGAAAAGAGAGCTTCATTGCAAAGCTCCCACTTGGATGAGAACTCTGCTGCAAAGCTCCCATCTCAACGGGAGCTCTACAAAGAAGATAGAGCTCCAAAGCCCCCATCCCAGTAAGAACTCTTTAACGGAGCTTCTTCCCAGTAGAGCTTTTTCCTCTTCCTTCTTCTTTCTTCTTTCTCTCTCTCCCTCTCCGTTGCAACCTCCATGAAAAGCTAACTCATTTACATTTTACACCTCCAAAATAAGGAATTTTAGCACTTTGCATATCATAATTCTAAATTTTACACTTTACACCCCAAAAATAATATTTTCTAACACTTTACACTCCAAATTTTAAATTTAATACTTTGCACCCTAAAATTTTCCAAAATAAAAAAAATACACTCTATCTTTGATTACTCATTAAAATTAAAGGTAAATTTAGAATTTCATGTAAATGAAGAGTAAAAAAAACATAAATCACACAAGCCCTTCATTTTTTTTGTTATTTTTACTCTATTAAATAAATTTTCAACTCAATTTATACACATATTAATGGCATGTAAAAAATTAAAAAATTTGGTACTGTTCAAAATTTAAAAATTTAAAACTAAAAATAAAGTTTTGATAAAAAAATATAAAAAATATATGAAGTGGCTATAAATTAATAACTAATAATTATTTCTATATAAAATATTAGACAAATTAAGAATTACAATAACTACTTCAAATAATTGTTTTTGTATAAAATATCTAGACAAATTAAGAAATAAAATAGTTATTTCAAATATTTTTTTATATTTTTTTATCAAAACTTTATTTTTAATTTTTAATTTTTAAAATTTTAAATAGTACTAAAATTTTTAATTTTTTACGTGTAGTTAATATGTGTATAAATTGAATGAAAGTTTATTAAATAGAATAGAAATAACAAAAATAAATGAAATGTTTAAATTATTTATGATCTTTTTACTCTTTATTTATATGAAATTCTAAATTTATCTACAGTTTTAATAAGTAATCAAAGATATAATGCACTTTTTGTAATTTTGGGAGGTTTTGGGCCCAAATTTAAAATTTTAGGATGTAAAGTACCAAAAACCAAAATTTTTGGGGTGCAAAGTGCCAAATTTAAAATTTTAGGGTGCAAAGTGTTAGAAACCATTATTTTTGAGGTGCAAAATGCAAAATTTAGAATTATGGGTGTAAAGTACCAAAACTTCCTAATTTAGGGGTACAAAATGCAAATGAGTCTGAAAAGCTCTCAATTGTTTTCTCCCCCTTCCTTCCTATTCCCTCAATTTCCTTGTTTCCTCTTTCTTCCTTTTTCTCTTTTTTCTATTGCAAAACTCCATAAACAGAGCTTTGCAAGACAAAGCTCTACAACAAAAGAAAATCAATCTCTTCAAAAATTAATTACTCAACTAAAAAAATTTAATCTATTTTCATAAATAATTCCTTATCAACTTATTTCTATAAATAAAGTAATTAATATTGATATCAATTTACCTTTTTTCAAGCTCTAATTTTAAAATGCATGAAAGCACAAAACAAACCAGTCAATTAGGAATTTGTTATGACAATTTACCACGAAAATGGGTTCTTCAAAATTGGTTTAGAAATATTAACAGACCTTAAATACCCTTTAATTAGAGTATTTATATTCCAATTGAATTCATCCTAAAATTGTGGATTAGTGCCAATAAGAAATTCCAAATAGATTATAATCTTACATTTTTTTTTTTCATATTAGATAACGTTAGAAGGATTTGGCAGTTCTGTTCCAGGTGTAATAGGAATGCGTGTGGGAGGAGCTAAACCGTGGTGAGAGAGGGAACATCGCGCGTGCTACCCATTTCCCTCTTTTGGTCCTACCACGGACCATTTCTCTTTGCCCATAAATAATATATAAAAAAAGAAGAGAAAAGAAAAGAAAATAAGCTACCGACAATAAAATATGTAAACCTACTAATTACTAGGAATACTAGATTAACTCAATGTCAATTAATGTTTCAACTACAACGACTAGGAATACCGTTTAGATTTATTTTATCAATATAGCTAACGTAGATGTGGAGAAATACCTCCCCCGGATAAATCTCACTTCCAATAAAATATATCTTATTTTCTACACATTTATGTCAGGCATGGGGGCCGGCCTGACTCAGCATAAAATAGTTTTACCTTCATTCTTCTTCTTTCTTTCTTGGCAATAGCAATAAGACCTAATTAAAGAACACTTGGAATAAATTAAGAGCGTCCAACCACTCGAGTTAAAGTCATGATTTCATAGTACGTAAAGAGATTATTAGGTAACCAGAAAGTCCGGGTCTTTTTATAACAAGAGAAACCAATAGTACATGCGTACAAGCATGTGATCGGTTAAGTAATCCAATATGTAGGCTTCCCAAATTTGACCACAACATTGACAGACAATCCTAACAAACAGATTCTGATAAAATTTCTGTTAGTTCATAAGAGATGAGCAATGAAGATTGACCATGATGCCCTCGGGATCTTCAGAAACTCCCCGTGAACTTTCAGTCAATGGCAGAAGATAATTATGCTGAGACAAATTATAGGAATAAAAAATAATAATATCAACATAAGACACCAAATTTGAAATTTTACACGAAATAAGCTGAAGTCTGCCTCGGGCAAAGAAAGTAAAGAAAAAGCCTCCCCACCTCCACCTCCACCGAAAGGTTTAACACATCTACCATTCAACTGATTAATGATTACAATGCTTGTCCATGTTGAATATTCTAACAGAAACATAGAAAATAAGTAACACCTCAGACTTGCATAAAATTCCAAGATAATGTGTGTGGAAATATGACCAATAAAAATCAGTGAAGAGGTCAGCGACATCCAACCCTTAGTTTCAATCTCAAGAAAGCCTAGTCTACAAGGATGAAAAATGCAAAGGTCTGATGATTTTCCCATTATCTCAACAAAGTCAAGTTCCATCCTAAATTTTGTAGACTGCAGTTCTGAAATTTTCACCTGGTCCACAGCCAATTTTAACAAACTTCACAGATCCCTTGGGCCCCAAGTTCTAATAATTTCCACTTGTAGGCAAGAGTATAACTTACACAACATAGCTAAAGTAGACATCTGACTGAATATAGCAGGATTGACAAATCATAGTAACAGAATTGAATAAGGATGCACCCTCCTTTAAGCCTCAAACTGTTGATGAATGTTTGCTTCAGTAGGACTACACGTAGAAACTGAAATTAGTTCCTGTTACATGAGAAAGGGGTATATGAAATTCAATGATGCACAAATAGAGATAAAAATATACATTTTCAGTATCCGTCCGGGCATCAAATGTATTCCAACCTAAATTTTGCGCTAACGGCCAGATAGGTCAGATTGTTAAGAATGCCCAGACGGGATAGAAATTTTCAGAGGTATGGCCAACGTTCACCTGTGAATAAATCTAGGCATTCAGAGGGCATCCAAAGGTTGCAAAGAATCAGACCACAACATTACAGTTGCCAAAAGTGCCACTGTAGCAGTTTCAACTCATAGGCGATGTGGACCCAGACCAACAGCTTTTGCACCTGCTTCTATGATAGAATCAAGTTCTTTCTGGGAGAAGTCTGAAAACATAATTTGCAACTGTAAGTAACAATATAATATGATATCCACCCACTTTGTGTTAAATTTTAGAAAATTCAAATCTAGCAGGAGAACAGCATATTAGGCCTTATTCAAACAACATGCACTAGAAAACATAAGCCATATTGTTTTCATTATTTAATAATTTTGGCAATTATAGCTATACGTGCTTTTAGGCTGTTGTGGACTTATCTATTGGTTGAGACAGATTAAGTGGCCTGCTAAACCAATTATTCTCAACTCCATGTGTGAAGGAGAGAAGTTTGCAACATATACTTTCTGAGTCTAAAGGGACAATTTATATGAGGATCTCTTCAACAGCACAGGTCATTACACTTATTGTAAAATTAGTGATGAATTTTCCTCTTGATTCAAGTAGATAACTGCGCAAAGCCTAGAACATTTATACAACAATTCAAGAGTAAAGTTTACCCAAGTTATCATGAAATCTACCCATCACCAATCAAAAGCTCAAGAAGTGTCAAGTATATTTCGTACCACTCCCCCTTATGAACATTGGTCTATAGATATTATACGAGCAAGCGAGAGAGAGAGAGAGAGAGAGATTATATTAACTAACCCCCTTCAGGTCCAATTATTATTGACCCACTTGATTCTTCTCTAGAGGAGCTTAGAGCACTAATAAGCGGAATAGCCTCTGCTACAGCCACAAAAGACAGCTGAGACTGAGCAACCTAGAGATTCAGGATAGAGAAATAAAGACATTAATCATTACAAAATTAAAAGAGATAACCTTCTTTAGAATTCGCTGTTATGGAATCATAAAAAAAGAATCATGTACATCAGGCCCGCAGATTTGCAAAACAAAGAAATTAGATGTAAATATATCTCGTTTTGTACAGTGTCGGCACAAAGAGAAGACAACTGACAAATTTTTCAGATCTCTTGTAAGATTATCAAGGAAGAAGTGACTCACAATAGGCAACAGGCCACCAACTTTAACAGGAGGATGCAAATCCATTTCATGCAGCCGTTGACCTAGAAAAGAAAGTCATTTTCAAAAGAACAAAAGTTATGGTATACGGCCAGCCAATTACACAAATAAAGGGAGGAGACAGAAAGGAAGAAAGTTAATTCACCATTTGCAAAATACATGCTGAAGTTTGAACTTGATTAACACTAATAATAACACAGGAATGGGGTAAAGCATAAAATTTGTATCTAGAAAAAGACTATTAGATAATGAATTGTTGTACTAGGATTACAAATATTAGGAATCACTGTAAAAGAAAATCTCAACTAGAAATTACATTGTTTAGCTGCAGCTAGAATAACACGTTGTAGCCTGCCCACTCTATTGTCTGAAATTGAAGGAGAACGTTCAGTCAGCAAAGGTGTTATGCTACTAGCACCCAGCTCCTAAACAAATAAACCAGGACAACAAATTAACTTTGCACCTAGGGTATAAAAACAAAAGATTTATAAATGCCAATAATATACATAAAAAACACACCGTGCATTTTTCAACAAGCCAATCAGCTCGACCCCCTTTCAGAGACCCTAAATATGAGAAGCTTAATGAATGTTATTGTTAATTCCCACTCTTTTAAACGATTAAGTCTATTCACACATTAATTTTTCAACTAGCTCATAAGCTCACCAAAAGCTGCAAACACATGCCACTGAGTGGTCTGTGGATGAACTATTTTTGGATCTTCCAGAGCCAAGAAATCCAGTCCAATGCGGTCAATGTTTTGTATGCAACCCTTAATTAGACCTCCTTTCCCATTGAAGAGCTCTACCCTTGCATTTCATTATGAGAAAATCATAAAAAATAAAAAAATAAACAACAACATAGATATGATTTGTGGAAGTAGAGTGATGTGCAAATCGGATTTCCTCTAAATTCTAAAACTTTTACCATTTGAGTTAATTAGCTTTATTCAAATCAAAGAACACGATTTAAAATAATCATTCAAACAAAGTTACAACTTACGAGGTGTCATAACCAGAGAAGCTTATTTATATGGATCAACTATATGTATCCTCTTCAACCATTTCACTGTACAATTTAATTTCAATTGAACAACATCAATCATTCTTTTCTTTGTTGTCCAACAAACATTACAACTGGGGTTCTTTTTCTAGGGTGCTATCCACAATAATTACAACATTAACCTTCCCTATGCTATAATGATGTTGCTTATAGTGGAATCCCAGAAGGAATCTATATAGACAAAAAAAACAAAAGAGAAAATAGCATCACATCATATCAACCAAGCCCAAGATCATGAATTTAGGTTTTAGCAGAACTAAAGTTAATTTAGGTTCTAGTGGAACTGAAGTTACCATTCACTTTAAGTAATGTAGTTTAGAGCTTACATAATAATTTAGTATTTTCACTCTCATCCATTACAATAACCTATAATTTGAACAGAAGTAACTGGAGTAGAGACTTATGGAAATAAATAGTACCTATCTTGAGTGCTCAACCTTAGAACTTTAGTCATATGCCAAAACTCATCACCTTCTACACGAACAGTGCCACCCTGCATTATTTAAACAACAAAGTAAGTGAGAGGGAAATTGAACAGCTACTTATTTATGTCAACCAAATTTATATCAAGCCATTAAAGAGACCCAGAAAAGTTTCTAGAACAAGAAATGAATTCAAACTAATTAATCAAATCCAATTGACCCGATTTACCACAAGAAGCTCGTCAAAATAGGAGTCATATTTTCAACTTATTTAATAATTTCAGTTCATGGCTTTGCACCACTATTTCTTGCTTCATTTCTGCAAAATTGAAACACATGACTCAGAAACATAAAACCCTTGCTTTAGTTCTTTGTGAACCCTCCACAAAGTCTGTTACTAACTTATAACATTATTACTAACCAAGAAATCAACCGTCAGATCCCAACAGCCAATTGATTCATACATGGACACAGAAAACATGAATCTGCTTGAGTGGGCATGCCTGCAAATCCACAAATGCGGATCGAATGGAAGAAGTCCACAATCACAAGAATCAAACTGCGGTTTAAATTTTAACTGAAGCAAATTAATTAGCAATGAACACTTAGTCATAAAGAAGAACATGCCATGCTCAGTGTCAGGCATAGATAGCAATACTGGATGCCAAGTAACAGGGTAATTTACAAACCATGAACGTCCATAATACTACTTGACATGATTTACTGCAGTTTTTCACCATGCACAGACCCAAAAACTAGCATTTCAACTTTTCCGAGTTTTCTGGCATCGAACCAAGAGTTATAGCAGACTAGAACATGTTAAAATCTCAATGCGAAATTCTATCGAACAACAACAGGACACGAATACATAATATATATATATATATATATATATAATGAACGGACACCCACACACAGAGTGAGAGAGTGCCTTGGAGGGAGGGAGAACTGGGGAGAAAAAGCGGGGAAGACCGCCGCGGGATTGATTGGAGTAGTTGGAAGACGAGGATGAGAATGCTCGGAAAGTGGATGACTTGAGCCATGGATGCGTAAAACGAGGTCGGATTGCTAGGGCTCTCATTGAGGCTCGGCTAATCAGCTTCCCTCAACAAATCAACCGGAGCTTGAAGCACGGCGAGTGCCGAAGCGGGGGACTTGAGCTTCAGGACGAACTCCACCGTCAAGAAAAGTACAGCTTTTCCAATCTAAAAATCAACCTACAAGCTGGCTTGTGGCATAATTTAAGGGTCCTGTTTGGCAAAAGTTTTTTTTTTTTTTTTTAAATATTTAATTATTGAACTTGTTTAATCATTAAAAACCTAGTGAATAAATATATAATTGTTATTCTTATAATTCCGCAAATATATATTTGATATGTTTTTCAATTCCATGTAAAGACAATCATGTAATTTATTTTTAGAAAATTTAATAATTTACACAGAAAGCTAATAAACCGGATTTTAAGAGATGGTCAACATTTTGCAATTTTTCCCGTCAAATTTATTTAAAATTGAAAGCATCTAAGAGAGTGATTCGTTTAAAAATTATTTTTGGTTTTGGTTTTTTCTGCTGTGAAAAAATGGACTTTTTAATGTTTGTCTTGAAAAAATTGACATTTTTAATAGCTAAAAAGATTATATAAATTTAGAAACATAAAAAAATAAGTGTTTTTATTAATTTTCTAAAAATCAAACTCAAAAGAATAAAAAAAAATTAGTAAATTCAAATTATCAAAAAGTTAATTCTTTTAATATTTTTGTTAGTTATCTTTTCTCATATTAAATCAAACGACTGAAAACATAAAATTTAAAAATTTTTAAAAATTAATTTTTTATGGGTAAACCAAACAGTCCTTGCGAGTGTGGCAGCTGGATTTTGTAAACTTATCAAACCCTTTTAATTTCAAAGGTTTAAACTTTCAACTTAGGCAGTGTTTAAATGAGATCACATGTTTTTATATATATATATATATATATATATATATAAGGATCATACTGTTATAAGAGGAAATTCGTGGAATAAATTTATTAAGATTGTGAAAAAAAAAAAAAAAAACCAAAATAGGCCATCTAGATTTCTGGCAGAAGTTCCACACGCTCAACTACCCATCTACAACCATAGTCTTAGCTCCTAGCCAAAACTCTAACATACTTAGCTGCCAATCTTTGCTACTCTAACTCTGTCAGTTGTTGTCATCCCTATATGAATAATAGCAATCGACGGAGATCGAAGACAGAGGATGAAAAGGGGTCGTTGATGATCCAAACTCGCCTCACTCTCTTGGACAATGACCTGTGCAAAACAAATCTTGACGAAGACAAAATGGCTCAAAGACAGGGATTGACGGAAATTAAACACGAAGGACTCGTCAACAGTAAATCTGTGGAGATAGATCACAGAAATAGTTGACAAAAGTTTCTGCAAAATAGATTGTGCGACTTGCGAAATAGTCGATGAGAGCTTCTAAGCGATGCATCATTTGACAAAAGCTTTTGTGCAAGATGCATCTATTCAGTCAGTAAGAGCAAGGTAATTTATAGATAGCGGATGAGTGTAGGAGGACAATGTTGGAAGAGGGTACTTGGATAAAATTACTTATTTATCAAGTTATATCTTATTCACTTAGTCAGATGTACTAAACAAGTGTGAACAATTAACTATTGTACTTTATCTTTATGTATTTTTTTCAAATTCTGTTTACTCTTAATATATTTTATCTGGCAGACCAAACGAGTTCTTATAAGTTATAAATTTATGTTATTTTTAACTTTTTTTAAACTTACAATACTCAGTTAAAAAAAAAGAAAAAGAAAACCGAAAATACCAAACATATAAATCAGTGTGATACTGGTTTTTTTTTAAACAGAAATACAGACATTCATTGATCAGTTTCAGCAAAATGAAGAAGCTACCAGCCCTGGCCTTCATCATCACCATCTTCCCAAAACAAATATTTAGCAGATCAAGTGCCTCCAGCTTCACTGCTTACTATATTCACATACTTGGTTCTCAAAAGCCTCTGCAACAAAAACACAAACACCTTCTGCGCATCCCATAACCTCGAAAATCCCTCTAATCCCCATCATCGCCTTCATCTTCTCCATCTCCAAACCCACCGCCCAACTCGCAAATCCTGTCCCAGACTTTCTCCGGCACCGGCGCAACCGACAGCCTGGGTTGCCGCAAAAGAGCAAAATCCTTCAACCCACCATCTCCCTTCATCTCCTTCAGGTCCACTGGCGCCCTCATTTCCCCAACCGCTTTCACGTCGACGGCGATTCCGTCTTCGCCGTCAGGGTACCACTCGCGGACAACGGAGACGACGCCCACGACGCGACGGGCCTTGGCGCCTGAATGGTAGAAGAAGCACAGGTCGCCGAGGCACATGGATTTGAGATTTTTCTGGGCTTGCTTGTTCTTCACACCGTCCCACTTGGAGAGACCGCCGTTGGCCGCTTGGTCCTCCCACGACCACTCCCCTGGTTCTGTTTTCAGCAGCCAGTACTGCTTCTGCTTCTTCTCTCTCGCCATCCTCGTTAGGTTGGTCCGGTTTTTTGGGTAACTTTTATTGCTTGTGATTTGATTTGGGATACGAGCGGAAGAGGAAGTTGGATGGTTGGTTTGGTTATAGCGGGAAAAGGACTCGCTTTTGGCGCCACTTCTTCCCGTACTCGTGCGAGTTTCCTCTGTTTTATTTTTGTAAAATTTCTAAAACTGAAATTTTTGATAATTTGTTTGATAAAATTCAAAATTATCCATTGAAAATTTTTTAAAGTAAATACACCGTTTTGAAAGATTTAGAATTCAAATATGTCTCATTTAATTTGAAATTTATATTTAAATAAAATGCCATTGAACATTAATAAATAAATTTCAAAGTACACTCTTGCTAATAAGTCTTAAGAATATTAATGTATTAAGAAAATTAAAATTAAAATTAAAATTTGACTAAGAGTGTGTTTGGATAAGCTTTATTCATATTGGAAAAGTGATTTTGGTAGAAATGATTTTATAAAAACAAAAGCTATTTTGAATTTCACATCCAGTTTGGATTAAAAATATGAAAGTGAAATTCTTTTTTCATAAAATTTTTGGTTGCTCTTGGTTAGGGTTTCAAGAAAAAGGGTTTCAATTCACCACAATCATCAAAGGCAATTGTAAGTGGTTAACAATGAATCAGTCACTACTTCAAAATTGCAGGCACGAAGGGTTTGGTCAATTATCACAACAGTTAAGACTTCAAATTCCATCGCCAATCAGTAGTCACAAGTGGGAAGAGTTTAATGGGCAATTGTAGGTGGTCAAGGTAGGTTCTTAATTGGGGGTGTTTGTTAGTTTAGTTTGGTTCGGTTTGACTTTGAACTTTTTTTAAATCGAACTGAACACGTTGATTCTCAATTTTGTTAGACATAATCAATTTTGTGTTTGCCAAAAAACTAAATCGAACCGAACTGGCTTGAATCAGTTTAGTTTTGTTGACATGTATGATTTTATAATTTTTTTTAAATTTATAAAAAAAATTTAATATAAATATAAATATATAATATAATATACATATATATAATAAATATAATATAAATATAAATAAATATATATAATATATCTATCTAATATATATATTAATAAATATAATCGATTCAATTCAATTTTATTTTAAAATAAAATTAAAAATTAAACCAAATTGATCGACTTAAAATTCTTAAAATTAAATTAAACTGATTCTTTCAATTTTATTAAATTTTTAATAAATTTAATTTAATTTAATTTTAAACACCTTTAATTCTACACTACCAATTATTTGCTCTGCCCTGTACATTTATGCGATGACGACACCTTATTTGTCGGCCGCTTTCTCTCTCTTTTGTACATTTACCAGACGATAGAAACTTTATTTACTAGCACCAGCACTTGTTTTTATGTGAGGGTACATGATCTCGGGCTTTTCAAACTAGGGGCCACTTCACCTACAGACGGAGCATGAGAGACTGGCCAGTTGGGATGTTCCACAAGCGTGGTTTTGAGAGGACAATGGTGATGGTAACACACCACACGCTTGATACAGTGAATAGACGTAGATAAAAATAATTTATTTAATTTTATTTTATTTAAATTTATATTTAATAAATTAAATTAAATAAAATTTAAATATGAAAGAGGTTAGATAATAAGAAAGTCAACTTCGAAAAAATTATATTTAAAAGAGGGATAAGGTAATTTTATCTGACCTCTATTTAATTTATTTAGACAATATTATTTTTCCTATCATCACTAATGGTCACTTCTACCGTCTCCGTTAAATAAGATAATTATTTAAATCATTATGTGATTAAGATATTTTATTTAATTAGTTGTCCTATTCTGCTTTATCTGATATAACCTAGCAAACAAGACAAAATTCTGCTAACAAAATAAAATGACCAGATATATGCTATCATTTTCAAATTTAAACATGAACAATTTTTGTTTCAAAAGTAAATTTCTGTCTTTTGAATGATTTATTTCTCTATTGCTCGTGATTATTTTCAAAAATTGCTCAAACAAGTTTCTCAAAATAATCACAAATCTATTTTTACCATATTCCTTTTTTTGGAAGTGGTAAAAATAAACAATCTAAAATAAAAACAAAAACACTTTTTTTAAAAGGAAAGTTATTTTTTGCAAAATAAACCCATCCAAACACACTCCAAAATTATAAAATATTTGTGAAATTTATTATAAAATTTTCTTATAAATATTTTTACCGGACTCGTTGAGTAGATGAACAAACCACGTCTATACATCATCATAATGTTATTTTCTCACCAATATTCTCTTAATTAAGGGCCGTCGTGGTCAATGGCGTTCTCCATCCAGTACCACTTTTACACGTAGAATAACGTGAAATTACTCGTAACAGCAGGCTTTTGAGGTCAAAGTCGTAATTACGGTATCGTCATCAGCAAAAGATTAAAAAAAAAAAAAAAAAAAGTTTTGTTAATTAATGCCTTTTTAATTACCATTTCGACCTCGGCCTGGCCAGTTTTGGTCAAATCTACGGTTAAAAATCTTGCTAGTTCTACGTCTAGAAGATCAGTTCTACAATTCTACAAAATTTATCAATATCAATTCTATTATTCCTACTTGTTTTGGGTTTTAAGTATTTAATATTTTTAAATTACAAAAAAACAAATTAAATTTTCGTGAATAAATAAAAGGGATCTGGTTCTACGGAAACGAAGTCAACCCGACACGTGCGGTCCCGAAAGGTTGTGGAATGAAGACGGTAAGTCCAGAGAATCTTCAGATTCGTGCCACGTGAGAATTGTCTACGGGTTAATGTAGCAAACCCAGTTCACTGGTAAAGCTTTTTAATTGATTATTTTTATTATTTGATTTCGTAATTTTGGATAAAAATTAATATTTTAATAATAAAGGATTTTTTTTGTGATTTTGGATCTGAACAATATATATGTAAATTTGATAATTTTTATATATCTATCTTATATTATAATTTTTGCAACTAATTGTACTTTAAATTTTTACTTGAAAGTCTAGAATTCTAAAGTTTTATAGTGCTAATTCTTGAAATTAGTAGGCAATTTAAGAAAATTTCTTAAAATTTGTGAAGACAAACCTTCACATTAATGTAATTTTCATCATCCATAATTTCTTTAAAATGATTTAGTTTCATATTCAAAAAATTCCTGTACCATCCCAAGCCAGTAAAGAGAGAAGGAATTTATGGGGAAATTCCAATATAGGCCTCAATTCATGTCACTATTTATGCATATACTATCCACACATATATATCTAAACTGCAAGAAGACGATAGCAGCAAAGCCTGTGAGTCTGTAACTATGTATAACAAGGATTAATACAATAATAATTTTATTTTCATGGGTTGTGCTTCTGGGTGTATATGTAATCGACGTGAGCTGCCAGCGTTCTTCTCATCAAGCACTCTTCTTCTCCCATTCCTTCGCAGCTCTCCCCATCAACCTCAACGTCCTTTACAGAAAGAACCCATGAACCAAGTAAGAAATTGAACAAGCGGAAAAGACTAATTCATGAAAACGCCCAGCAATTAACGTACCCCGCCGTGCTGCTTTTTTACCGGACCGGCGTAGCCAGATGCCGGCCCCGACCGAGCGGCGCACGTTAGCCCAAAGAGGAGGATGAGGCCTAACATGCAGAAGGCGCTGACCTTGGCCATATTTCCGCCCTTGTGAATTGTGAACGAGTCAGAAAAACACGAGACACGAACACGAGGGACAGGGTGGGGACGTATTTATGGAGGGCAGAAATGTGGAATTGTAACCGCAGCAAAAATAGCACGCGCGAGGAAACATCGGACGGCCGGGAGTTTGATGAATCCAACTTGGAGGCATCACTGTCGTTGAAAATTATGAAATAAAGTTCCAGAAGCGCGGCTTTCAACGTTTTGCGTGCTGATATGGAACTTCTAGAACTACCCGGAGAATTTTTCCGTGGGGGCTAGCTATTTATTTACGGCGTAATTTTTAATATTTTTTGGTCCAGGTTCAATTTTTGCAATAAAATTTTTAAAATAAAAAAGGTCAGCACAAGAAAGTTGAATGAGAAAATTTGGAACATTTTTAATGCCAAACAGGCGGATAAATTCTAAGATTGGAATACATTTATTAGATATTTTCATATCTCTGAATATCATGAATTTAAATACTAATAAAATATAATCTTTAAAAATTAAACAAATATATTCTCTCATCCTCACATGACATAAAGACATTGGATGGGTCTAGATTTGATGGGAGATATTATAAAATCTATAAAAAAAAAAAAAGTTATGTGATTTAAAATCGAGTTCCAAAAATTTTAATTTCAAGTTTCAAAAAAAAAAAAAGATAAATCGGAATTTCATAATCCTTAAAATGGAATAAAATTTGATTTTGAAAATCTAAAATTGAAAAACCCAAATATTATATTTATGGGTTTGTTATGCCTTAATTTGTCAAACCATACTTGGAAGTCCTCCCGTGATCCCCCCCGTCACATGCACCGTAATGCCGCCCTACGTGATGGACAATTGTTCTTGCTAAATTTGAAGAAGGCATTATCTTATATTTTATGTTGTTTCAACCATTAATTGCGCGTGATCTGTGTACGTGGGTATACCAGATAACCTAATTTGACATTTTTATCATTTTTTTTATTAGAAAAAAGAGTTAATTTTAAAAAATTAATTTAAAAGTTAGAAGTTTAGGGAAGATTTTACAAGCAATTGATATTTGATCCAGTGATTAGGAGAATTGACGCGTGATTCCATGCTTATAGGCTAGGTTTATGCCCAGACGAATTTGGACAAAAATTTTAAGAAAATTACCAAGTGATTTATTATTTTCATGTATTGGTTTAGTCTTCTCCCTTGTGGATGATGTTAGTAGGGGTATTTAACAAATTGAACTAAACTGTTTATATCGTATAAATAAAATCGAACTAAACTGTATAATTTGGTTTTATTTGATATTTGATATATAGATAAACTGTATAAATTAAACCAAATCGTATAATTTATATACATACAAAATTAAAAATCATATCTTTATATATATTGTATATTTTTATTATTGGACTCCATATTTCTTTTTTGTTATTTTTTATATTTATATTCATTCTAATAATTAATTATTTTTCTTTTTTAAAAATGTGATTTCTATTAATAATAGTGAAATTTTGTAAAATGGTATAAATATATTTATTATATAATGTATAATTACTATAGTTAAATAATAAATAATAAATTTTTTAAGTAAAACATGTTGAGAAAAAAATTGATGACAAATTTTTAGAAAAACTTTGTCAAATTTTTTTATAAAAATAATAAATTTAATTCATTTTATTTTATAAATCACAAACCGTAATTTAAAACCGAACAAAACCGTAAAACATGATTCAATTTGATTTATAAAAATTACAAATTATAAAACATGATTTAATTTGAATTTAAATATCAAACAAAATCAAACCGAATGACGAACATCCTAAATATTGGATTTAATTTGAAACTCATATCTCCATTATCCTTCGAGGACTTTGCTCCATCTTTTGGAGACATGGACAAGAAAGGAAACCAAAAAAAGAGGGACTGATTTGTCAAATTAAATTGGAGGTATATAGCATTCATGTCTACAAGGTTTCACCTGTTTTATCATTTTTTTTTTTTTCTGTCACTTTCAAGTAAAATATGTGATTTCTACCCTTGTGTGCTAGCTTAGTGATTCCATGTATGGTTGATGTAGTTGATATTTACGTGCACCTACTGGCATAGTACACCTAATATCTATTAGATGCGTAGAAGAATGACATTATAATGTCATTTTTCCATGCATTTAATGGATGCTAGGCTTGATGACGCAATGTTATTATCTTATCTTACTAGCTTTTTATGGGCACTCCCTTTGTAAAATTACGGAGCCGAATAATTGGATAATTTTTATTATTTAAGGGTTAAATATAAAATATCTTTATTCAAGATAATAAAAAATATTTGTCTTTATACTTCAAAATACGCATATTTTTATATGGATATACACTTGTACATGTTACAAGTATATATCTATATAATTATAAATATATATTTGTAAAATTACAAACTTTATTCCTGCATAGGTATATATTTATAATTACATAAATATATATACTTGTAATTATACACATATATATTTGTAATATGTAAGTATGTATTTATATAATAAAAAATCATATGTTTTATATTAATAAGGGTATTTCGGGAATATAAAATGTCTTTAACTCGACAAATTTTTTTATTTTAAATAAAAATATTTTACACTTTTATTTATGAGCAATTAAAATTATTTTATTAATTAACAATTTTTTGTTTGTTCAAAAACTGTTTATTTATAAATAAGTTAATATTTTAAAATTTAAAATTTCCATATAATTAACTTTTAGTACCATCTTATACAATATTAAATTATTAATCACTCCTTTATTTATAATTTCAATTTATGGAGAGAAATACCTTATTTGCACTTTTTGGGGTTTCTTATGTAAGATTGAGAAATTAAAAGAGGAAGTAAGAAATTTATTTAATATTAAATTTTAATTTATTAAGATAAATATCGTAGTATTTATTAAATTAATATAAAATCAGTGCTGAATCAAAATTTAATAACAGAGGGAAGGAAGGTTATGTACCATCAACTATATGACTACCTGGCACGAGAACTTCCATGACAAATTCATGTCAGATAGAGAAAAAGGCCAAAAAACTTTTGAAATGACATTTCTTTTTTGGAGAGATGTGTATTGATGGCTCCAACCATCTGCATGCAAAGATAATAAGAAAAAAAATTAAATGAAGTAGCGTTAGAATTAGACATTTTGAAATAAGATCAGCAGATGGACCCAAATCGGCCAATCCTTTCAGAGAATCAGAGCTCAAATCCAAACCTAATGGTCCCAACCAAAAGCCCCACGAGGGAGACTCCGAAACCTTCGCCACCACTAAAATTTCCACTTCAGATTTTGAGTATTGTTTCATCTTATCCCTTCCCCACGACCCCCGGTTCCACCTGTTCAACTTCTGTAACTTTCTAGACCCATCTCCCACTTTCCCTCTCCCCAACAAATTCCCACTTCTCCTTGCGCCCCGACATGCTTTCCATCAGTCTCGAACTCACTCATCTCCTCCAATGGCGACTCTTTCCACTACCAATATCTACTCATACTCTGCTTTCAGAAGAACCCCTAATTCTCTGCTTTCTCCATTTCATCTCTCCAAATGCCTATCTGGCCAGAGAACCCACCTCTCATTTTCCCTACCCCCCAGAAAATTTATCAAGTGTCAAGTCAAAGCGGAGAGAAATGATGAACCCTCTTCTTCATCTTCGTCCTCTGTCACTGTGGCCTCGGAAAAGGCCGAGGACGGGGAAACCCATAAGGGGGATGCGAGTGAAGACAGAGAAGCAGAGGAGGAGGAGAAAGAGATACAGCAAGAGATGGATTGGAAGACAGACGAGGAGTTTAAGAAGTTCATGGGTAGTCCTTCAATTGAGGCAGCGATTAAGCTGGAGAAGAAGAGGGCTGACAGGAAGCTCAAGGAGCTTGACAGGGAAAGCAGCGATAACCCAATTGTGAAGTTGTTTAACAATTTGGTTCGGGATAATTTGGCTCGGGAAAAGGAAAGGTTGGAGGAAGCAGAGGAGGCTTTCAAGGCTCTTGACCTTAACAAGGTGATAGTTCCTCACAGTAAAATTTAGATACATGTGTAAGGGCTGTTTGCTTCCTCTAAAAAGGCCCTTTTTGTTTTGTATTTTTTTTTTTTTTGGGTAGTTTAGTTCAAATTGAAAAAATTGGCTTTTTTTTTAAATGGAAAATGTCAACATCCAAAAATATGTTTTTCTTTGCGCAAAAAGGACCTTTATTTTATCCGTATTATGGAACTTAAACCTTGAAGTCTGCATTTTATTATTATTATTATTATTATTATTATTATTATTATTATTATTATTATTATTATTATTATTACCGAAGACCTAGATTGAAAAACCTGGACTTTCCCTAAATTACTACCAACCATGCATTATAACCTTAAAAAAGTAGCTTTTCTTATTGCTGAAACACTACCTTAAAAAGTCAGCTTCCTTGCAGTTAAGCAAATACCAAAATCTCAATTTTTGGACATTTTCCTGATAGTCAACCATGCAATATATGTTAAAATAGATAATTTATTTCACAACAAAAAAAGGCGAGTTTCAAAACAGCTCAGGAAATAACTAGCTTATAGTTCATTGTTCGCACGCGCATATATAGATACATATGTATATATACTAGTGGCTAATATGAGATCGTTTTTTGGAATGGCAGTTGAAAAGCTGTTTCGGGTTTGATACATTTTTCGCAACAGATGTGAGAAGATTTGGGGATGGAGGAATTTTCATTGGGAATTTGAGGAAACCAGTTGAAGAGGTCATACCCAAGTTGGAGAAAAAGCTATCAGAAGCGGCTGGGAGGGAGGTGGTGTTGTGGCTCATGGAGGAAAAGGCTAATGACATAACAAAGCAGGTATTTGAAAATCAGGATATCTACAACTTCTATTTTGTAAACATTGTTTTCTGGGTCATAAACTGCATGATAGCTTAATATGCTTTTAAGTTTCTAGCTTTTCAAGCAAATATTGCCTAATTGAAGTTGTCAAATTTCATTATTGTATTCCTTTTAGAGTTTCCTAATCTAGAGAGAAAGAATATCTACACATTTTTGGGCATGTGTTGACCTTTGAAGCCCAAAAAGCTAAAATTCAAAAATTGTAACTTCTTTTCTCAGGCTTAAAAAGTGACAAGCCTATCTGGATTTTATATTGATTTTTTTTTTCTTTGTTGAAACAACCCCCCCCCCCCCCCCCCCCCCCACATCTGGGGGAAAATTTTCAGAAAAACAAGTACATTTCTGAAAATAACAAAAGTTAGTGCTGTTTTCAAAATTGTCAAAAGCTATTTTCACTCAAAAATGGAAGCCATATGAAACCATAGAGTTTTCAAGACTGTTTTCTGTTTTTGGAAATAAAGAGAGTAAAAGTTGAAAACAGAAAACAGAAACAGACTGCTAATCGAAATCAGAATTTCCTCTTTCTGAGATTTGACAATCTCTCCTATGTATCAGAAGTAGAAAATCTTGCTTTCTTCAATTTTTGGAAGCTCTATTGTTGTTTGTTTATGCAATTTAGCTTGCCCCTAACATCTGTAATTGTGGATGTTTTAAGGCCTGTATGGTACAACCCAAGTCTGAGATTGATCTCCAGTTTGAATCAACAAAGCTCAGCACTCCCTGGGGCTATGTCAGTGCAATAGTTCTATGTGTTGCAACTTTTGGTACCATAGCTTTGATGAGTGGCTTCTTCCTTAAGCCTAATGCTACATTTGACGACTACATAGCCAACGTTGTGCCTCTTTTTGGCGGCTTCCTTTCCATCTTAGGAGTTTCTGAGGTACATCATCTTGCATTTCTTTCTTTAAGCTCACAACTGCATCATCTAATTTTGAAGGCCATGGATATTTAATGGGTTCTTTTTTTTGTGTGGTTTGCTTCAAACATGCTTTCACTGTTTGGACAACGTGTACTACAATGATCAAATTGAGCTAATCCACTGGCACTTTAACCTGTTTGGATTGTTTTTACTTTCAACTGAAAATGAAAATTCTAGAAACAACCTTTTGTTGTATTTTGAAAAGGGTTCTGTTCTTGAAAATTATTCCAAGAACAGTTTCTGAAAAAAAATCTGAAAACTAGATGTAGTCTGTCTACTTAAATTGAAGGCATTTTTTTTTTCAAAAAATAAAAATAAAAATAGAGGCGGATCGACCCTCAATGACTGTCTTTCTTGTTATTTTGAAGTTTACTGTTAAGAAACAGGATGCACAAAGAAGTGGAAAAAGGGGTAGGATTAGAGAGAAACAAAGTATATAAAAATGCTAATTTGGACTATTTTTTGTAGAATACTTATACCAGAGAGGACTTAAGCAAAACATTTGACTAATCTGAAGAAACTGCTTTTCTAGCAACTATTATGTTATCTACATATTACATAGTGGATTTTATTTATTTTCACATGCCTTGAAATTCTGTTTTCTTGTTTGATTTGCAGATAGCCACAAGGGTAACAGCAGCCCGGTATGGTGTTAAGCTCAGTCCATCTTTCTTGGTTCCCTCTAATTGGACAGGGTGCTTAGGAGTAATGAATAACTATGAATCTCTCCTTCCAAATAAGAAGGCACTGTTTGATATTCCGGTGGCCCGCACAGCCAGTGCTTATCTAACATCTCTGGCGCTTGCAATTGCTGCTTTTGTAGCTGATGGCAGTTTCAATGGAGGTGATAACGCCTTGTAAGTTTCCAGCATTGCCTTGCTTCATGCCTCTTATACATTTGTTTTCGAAAACTGTTCTGTTTTTAAATCAAAATGAGAAGTGCACATGGCCAACCCTGACTGTGGTAAGTCAATAGCTTGGAGATGATAGAGGAAAAATCCATGTATAAGCCAATTACATACATATTATCCATATGGCCCTTTTTGCTCTGCTTATCTTTCTGGGTATTTGGTCTGCTTCACAAATGTTAATGTTGTCTCTGTGTGTGCGTGCGTGCGCGTGTTCTTTGCAGGTATATAAGGCCTCAATTCTTTTACAATAACCCATTGCTTTCTTTTATACAATTTGTGATTGGACCATACTCGGATGATCTCGGGAACGTATTGCCTTATGCAGTCGAAGGAGTAGGAGTTCCCGTTGATCCCCTCGCCTTTGCTGGACTTTTAGGTGAGTGTGATGAGTAGCATTTCTTTTCTTCTTTATCCATTTTAATTTTGTAAGCTCTTTCTCAGCAAGGTGAATTTGATTATCTTCCTAAGTTATCGATTGCCTGAATCTCATAAATCATGCAGGAATGGTGGTGACTTCTTTGAATCTATTGCCTTGTGGAAGACTAGAAGGAGGGCGAATCGCACAGACCATGTTCGGGAGAAGCACGGCCACCTTGTTGTCGTTTGCAACTTCGCTTCTGCTTGGCATCGGCGGCCTTAGCGGCAGTGTGCTGTGCTTAGCTTGGGGGCTCTTTGCGACCTTTTTCCGCGGCGGAGAAGAAGTGCCTGCGAAGGACGAGATCACACCGTTGGGAGATAACAGGTTCGCGTGGGGCTGCGTCCTCGGTCTTATCTGCTTCCTCACTCTCTTCCCAAATGGAGGGGGCACTTTCTCCAGTCCTTTCTTCGGTGATCCCTTTTTCAGGGGTAATCTATAAATAGATGACATGTAATACTCCTACTTTCACTATATGCGCAATGCTTTACATTATCATGTATTTTGTGTGGGAAAAAACAAAAATTGGATATGATAACGTTTAATTTTTTAAAAATGAAGGGTCGGAGTTGTTTATATTGTTATGATTAATTTTTTTATTTTAAATTATTTGAAAAGCTATCAAAGGGGTTGAATTTGAATTAAATCAAATAAATTTGAATATCAATTCAATTAATTTTATATTTGAATTTGAGTCAAAATTTTATGAGATATATGTTTGTTAAATGATATTTAAATTTGATAGTAACTTAAAATTTGATAAAAAATATGATATGATAAGAAAGTAATATTTTTTTATATTTAAAATTTTTAATTTCATTTTATCAATTAGATTATTTTTTAATTTTTTAATTTAATATCTATAATTTTGAACATATTAATATTGTATATATAAGATTATTAAATTAATAAAAATATTATTAAAATTTAAAATTTTTATGCATTAAATTATTCAAATTTATGTCACATTTATTTATTTTAAATTACAAATAATTATAATTGAATATAATTTATTAAAAATTTTAATTAAGTTTAAATTTTAAATTAAATTTAAATTAAGTTTAAATTAAAATTTAGTCCATTCACACCTGAAGCATCATCCAAAATATAGAAGGGAAAGGAAGAAATCCTTGGATTGTAAAGCGTTCAACAAATGATCAACTATTTTCTTTTCTTTTAAAAATTAATTGTTTATTGTAAATATCAAACCAGCCTCTAGAATCATTAATTGTACGTGATATTAAAGAATAAATTAAGAATTTTAAAGGGTAATTTTGTTTATAAATTAAAAAAAAAGTCGTAAAGTACAAACTAGTTACAACCGGTTCCCCTGAACTGAAGCAGCCTGCTATGCTCCGACAGTGCCGTGGCCTCCTCAAATTTGGGTTAAAAAATCTTACCCGGGCGAAATCCTGCGAATGCATTCTCCTTGTCAACAACTTTTAACTTTTGGACGTGCTTTTGACCTGAATAAATTAGTTTGCTGGTCTCCGTTTTGCCGGCAGACATGGATCCGGCCGGCAGTACCTCAGCGGTCCCAGGTGCTTCTTTGGCTGTTTCCTACTTGGGTTTTGCCTTCTTTGAGAAAATCATATATTAATAAATGATTACATGAGCCAGTGGAGAAAAAGTAGAAACTTGAAGCCTAAGCAAACACGGTTAATTACTTAATTAAAAATCTTATCATAATTTAAGTTCATGAATTTCAATACAAATAATATAAATCACAAAAAATGTATTTTTCTTCAATATCTCAAAATTATTATTACTTTCATGTCATTATTTTTTCTTGTTTCTAATTATGAAAAAAGAGAAATGAAAAAGCATTATAATTAGATTTTAATATTTTTCTGAATAATTAACATTCTATCATCAGAAAAATTAAATTTTGAGACTATATGTCTTGTAAATATAAAAAAATAATTTTTATAAAAATATTAAATTTATAAAACTTACTTCTAATTAGTATTTTAATAAAATATTTATTAAAAAATTATTTTTAATAAACATAAATATTTTTATAATATGAATACTGTTATTATTATTGGTTATATTTATAAAAATATTTAGAGTTTTTAAAAATAAATTTTTCGCAAACCTTTTCATTGACGCATTGATTGTGGGGTATATGTAAATTAATACAAAATCAGCAACGCGTCTTCCCTCTGCCCTCGCTGTCTCTCGTGCCTCTTTTCTTCTTGTTGTTGGTTCCCTTTCACTCTGCTTGAATAATCTTCCATTGAAGCCTCTAACAATCTCGCAGCCTTCACTTCGCTTTGAGCCATGAAGCTGAGACTCCGATCTATCGAAACCAACGGCACCCAGAAAATCGAAGTGCCTGACTCTTGCTCGCTTCAGCACCTGAAAGACGTGGTTTTTCAGCGGCTCTCTTCTTCGTTTTCCACTGCTCCAGCCTCTGTGCACCTCTCTCTAAATCGGAAGGACGAGCTTGTCGGTTCTTCAACTCAGGAATCTCTCCAGTCTCTGGGAATTACCTCAGGTGATCTCGTCTTCTTCACTTCTAACCCTAATGCATTTGTGCCCAATTCTCCAATTGGGCAATCTAGTTGCAATCCTGAAGAGACAAAATCAGCGCAACCCCAGAATTTACGGGAATTGGTGACATTAGAACCCACTTTGGAGGAGGAGCGAACCCTAGATCAGAGTCTAGCTTTGGGCACCCAAAAGGAGGAAACCCTAGGTTTCGACTCTGTGAAGACTGAAATCTTAGATTCTGAATCAAGGAAGAGTGACATGAAATTCGAGGCAGAGGAAAACCCAGGAACGTCTGGCAAGGTGGACATGGATGTTGATGATGATGTGTCTATGGTTGAGGAGGGGAAATCGTTCTCCGTGCCATGTTTTCTCAGGAAAGTTTTCCGGAAGGAGGTGGGTGAAGGTGGCGGTGGCGATCACAAGCTTTTGGTGATTGCTGTCCATGCTGTTCTTCTGGAATCTGGATTCGTTGGCTTTGATTCCATTTCGAGGATGAAAGTTGAGGGGTTCCATCTTCCAGATGAATGGCCTTCTCGTGCATTCACTCTGTCTCTATGGTACACTCTTCCTGAAATTGTCAATGGGGCTGAAACTGTTGTCTTAAAGTTTCAGAGTTTGGGAAAGTATGTGAATGTTTATGGATCTTTGACTGAGAAAGGATCTAAATCATATCGGGTGTGCTTGGCTGAGGACCAATTGGTTTTCTTCTTAAATCTCTTGTGGGCAAATTGTGAATCAGTTGATCTGATGAGTGAAAAGAACAGCTCTGTCAAACCTGAGAAGGAAGTTTTTGAGTTTTGGAAGACTGTAAAGGATAGGCTTGCACTGCCCCTGTTGATAGATTTATGCGACAAGGCCAATTTGCCTCCTCCACCATGTTTTATGCGCCTTCCAACTGACCTTAAGTTTAAGATTTTGGAGTCTCTCCCCTTTGTTGATGTTGCCAGAATGGGATGTGTTTCCTCGGAACTGAGCTATTTGGCTTCAAATGATGATCTGTGGAAGCAGAAATATCTGGAGCACTTTGGCAATGCGGAGTACCTGCAGGGAGGTAATAACTGGAAAGAGAAGTTTGCCAAGTGCTGGGAGACTAGAAAGAAGAGAAGGGTTGAGAGAAAGATTGTAAGAAGGATAAATTTTCCTGTTGTACCCGGGACAGAACCTATGCCTTGGCTGCTCATCAGAGACAACCCTTATCCTTTTATAGTTCCCAGAATTATAGGTGGCGATTATGACGTAGGACCTGGATTTGGCCAGAGTGTTCCAGCAGTTCCTCGCCGGAATGTCACGCCTCACCGTAATTTGGGAGGACGCCGCATCTAGCCCGAAAGCTGAAAGAAGCTACCTTTTGATCTTAGTTGTCTTTAATAGTGACTGTGAAATATAATAAGTTTTTTTTTTTTTTTTTTTTTTTAAATATCTATCTGGGAGTACTTAGCTTTCCCGGAAGAGAAGAAGACATCTGAGTTCTGACCTATGCTTTATGTAAAAAGGGTTTGCTTTGTTTCTGATGTTTAAAAGAAGCTATGCAACTATGTTTTTTGTTTATCGTGTTGACAGGGTCTAGTAGTAATATAAGTTTTTTCCATTTTATCTGCCAAGAGCTTGGTTCTAACTCAAGGTTTGATGGTCTGACATTAAAGTGATCTGTTATTGTGATGGATGATCTTTGTTCATTATGGTTGACAATTTTGAATTTTCTGATACGTGCCCTGGTGATATTGAATGCCCTTATAGTCGACATGTAATTTGAGTTTGGATGGGGCTGCTTTGATCAGAGAGTGCGTGCTTTGGGTGTTACGCTTTGAGTTAGCTGTCTGTAACTTGGCTTAAATACTGAAAATTTTGTTGTCCTGCTGACTAATGCGACAGGATATGTGAAGCTAAAAGAAATGTTTAGATTTCTATTATTTGTTAAAGCAATCAACTGTTTGGGCATGTTAAGATTCAGAAACTGTGTTCTATCCTTGGGATGATTTGATATGGCATTTTTATTTTTCAGAGAGTTGTCACCACTAAAGAAATTGACTTCTTTGAGTTTTGACGCCATCGGATGCGTCTTCTGTGGGACCTTTAAGTGGGCAGCAATTAACGCCTTCAGAAAATGAAATTTCTACGAAAATGCTTGTAATATCAAAACATCTCTCTCTCTCTCTCTGGCTCTATATCTTATTTAACATGTGGCTTGAGAGAACTTGCAGGTTAAGGGGATCTGTGTTCCCGGGGGGTGTGCGAGGGGATCTCGAGATTGCAGAGTTTGAATTTTCAATTCTCTGCTAATAAGATCTCATTCCTAATTCGACACTAACAAGACCTCCGTTTCACCGCCATCTATCTTGGAGCTAACGATAGGAGTTCTATTGAATCATGATTGCAAGAGCTGCACCAGCATTCAACTCTCCAAATTGAGAACTACAATTGTGTAAACAAGTTTGTAATAAAACCCGAAAGCTCGTCTTTCGCCAGCGTTATTGTAATTGGGGGTTCTCTTCAAGTTTCTGAAGTCCCACATCGGAGATGTAGCAAAAGAGGCCGAGGAGAGCTGCGTTGAAGATCGCGGGCCTAATTCATGTCAAATCATACCTTTCTCGGCCTTTTGGCTAAGATCAAGTGTAGTATCTGTTCTTATCAGTTTAATATCTGATACGTGGATCATCGGTCCACATGATATTAAATTAATTTTTCTAGGGGGAGGGGCCACCACGGTAGCTTGCTACTGGGTCTCTCGCGCGTCGCCCTGGCGTTGCACTACTGCCTGGGCCGGGCGCACCCCGCTAAAGCATAGTCGAAAACATTATTGGGGTGGGCTGGGCTTTGTTTTCAATGCATTGGGGCCTGTGTGGAAAAATGGTTTATCTAGCTATTTTATATTTTAATATGGTGAGGCCGGAGGAATTTTGCATATTTTTAAATTAAAATAGGAATTTGTATTAGGCGTTAATGATTTTTAATGTAAGTTGAGAAACAGAATGTGAGTGGTTTGAAATTACAGATAAATATTTTCGTGAACAATTAGGCTATTTTATTTTAGCAAAAAAAGAAAAAGGTAATCGTAATAGGCTCTTATGTGTTCAGGGGATACACGTGGCGCTAAATGAGATGAGAATTGAAATTGAAGTGAAATTTATCGTATTTTATTATTGTTTATATTAAAATTTCTGTTTGTCTATTTCATGAATAAATGATTATTTTGAAATATTTAATGTATTTTTATAAATAAATTTTTGTGAGTATAAAATTTTTATGTTTTGTTTATAAAAATATATCAAATTTTTGTTTGGTTTATTTTTGTATATTTTTATTTTTAAAAAATTAAGAAATTTTTAAATATGTTTTAATTATTTTAATGAAATAAACAATTATAGTAAGAAAATATTATTAAACAATTTTTAAAAAAATAACATGTCTAATAAAAAAATAAAAATAATAAAACATGCATATTGAACTTTCTATTTTAAAAAGTCACATTTATGAATAATGAGATATATTGCAAAGATAATAAATTAAATATTAGAGCATAATATTTTTAATTAGAGAATTATTTTAGACTCTTGCCTAGATTAAAAATAAAAATTATAATTATTTTTATTTAAAATAAATAAAAAATATGTTTATTTAAGTCATAATAAAAATAGATCGTAAAAAATAATAAAAAATAATATATTTTAATTTAATACTCGTGTTACAATATAATTTTATACTATCTGGTAAAATAAAATGTGAAAAAAGGGAGAAGATTGCTGCAGCGTGGGACTGGGACAGGGACTCAATTCTCCGGTAACCAAACGGAGACAAAGCGCCTACGTTTCCATTCTCAGTCGAATCTGAAAATCTCTGCGTCAACTATGGCCTCGTCAGTCGCTCTGTCTCCACCCTCTACTTCATGCTCTTCCTTCCCAGAAACACTATCTCACTCCACTAAACCTAATCGAAACATGTTCATCGTCCAATTCCAGCTCCATCGAACCTATTCCCCTATCCAAGCTTCCAGACGAATCTCCCATTTCCCCGAGGTTTCCCTTGGTCTATATATCTATTGTATGTGTATGTGTGTATATATGAGGTGTATTTGTATATTGTGTTTAGCTTTGCTTTGTATTCAGGAAGGTAGTGGTTTGGTGGATGATCCGCGAAATTGGGGCCGCAAACAAGGACTCTCCAAGGAAGAGTATGACGATTTTGATGAAGAAGACGACGAGGATAGCGAAGAAGATCGGAGTTTGGATCTCCTCGTGAGGTTCGTTCAGAATGTGTTCAAGAAGATTTCGAGGAAAGCGAGGAAGGCTGTCCGATCTGTTCTTCCTGTAACCATCTCCACCAAATTGGTACGTCTCATCTGATACTGTTTAAGACTAATTGATTATAGTGAACAGTAGGAAATTGGGAATTTGATCGAAAATAAAATTTATTAAAGATCGATTGTCCTAGAAACGAACTATTTGTCGATGATAATTGGAAAGTTTATGTTCTCTTCAACCTGACATCATTGATGGCTAATAATTGTTGCTACTAGCTGCTGTATTCTTTTTTTGGTTAATCGATGTTAATTTTGTGTCTTGGTCCTTAAAAACCAAAGAAATTTTAGTTCTTTGTATCATTCTATCTGAATTCTCAATCAAATTTGAACTTGCCATTTCCCCATTTTGCATTTGCTCATTTTGACTTAATTTTTATGCGCTCAATTTTCTACATTGGTTTTAGTAAAATAGGATTTTGTTTCTTGGTGGTTTATGTTATAGCGAATGCTTTCCAGGACACAAGCTTCTGGATTAGTTGTTGGCTAATGTTCTGTCTTATTAATTAATATAGGTTGGTTTTTCCGTTGATGGAGTGATAATGTTGGCATTTCTGTGGGTTCTGAAGGCATTCCTTGAGGTATATACTTGCTTAAATATGTTTTGGTATAATATTTATTTGTACGAGGTTTTTAAAGGAATAGAATTCTATGTATTGGGTGCATTCATGATTAGCAATCCCTGCCATTCATAATGTCGTGTCCTGATGAATACAATGCATCACATGCTGTTTGGATGTTGGCCTCTGTTATATGGTTTAATATATGTCTGCACCATGCATGCATAGATTGGCTAAACATTGACCATTTGAGCTTGAGTTTTATGGTATCTGTGCCTAGAGGTAAAATTGTCTTATTAAGCTCAAGCTTCAGCAAGTTATTGTTCAACTCATGAGCTTCCAAGATGCACGACATAATCTGAACACAATTTTGTTTGATGATCTGCTTCATGATAATTCATGATAAAAAATAATGAAATATCTGTTACGCTTGACCTCATTTTTGATCTTAACTCAAAAGTTCAGTTATGATAGAAAAATCCAGTGTCTTACTCTAGCTTGAGCGCTTCATGCTCCTTTTATCTTGATCTCATGCATGCTTAATTGTTTTGTTATGACCCAGGTTGAATTCCTAAAAGTCTGGCTTGATCCTGAACTCCTAGAAGTTTCATTCAACTTAACTCATTTGTGATCCCGCTTTTTTTTTTTTTTTTTTTTTTTTTTTCTTTTTTTTTGTGGTGTGTGAAATTAGACCAAATCTACACCAATCTCTATGAGACCACAATTTTTTCATGACATATGTAACTGGAATTTATTGAGATCCTTTGTTGTTTTGGCTTCTCTCTCTCTCTCTCTCTACTCTTCTCTTCTGCAGCATAGAAAGGAATTAGAGCCTAGAGGATTCTGGATGTTAACTTTGGGTGATAGGGGTTGTCTTTGCTATGGTCGACACAATTCTACTCAGTTAATAGAAAAGACCATGTAACACTGTTTATCTTATTCTCCTAGATCCAGCATTACTAGACTGAATAATTGTAGTGATTTATCTGTGATCTACATTTTGAAACATGTCTAGCTCATTATAGCTGAGCATTTTGATGAAATAGAATGCAATTCATTTGGCAAGAATAAATAACTAAATTTTCAGTATTATTCATTTCATCTGCTTTTATCAAAGCCATTTGCTAATATGGGGTCCACAATATTTGCAATTCTGCTGAAAGTTTCCAATGGGTTGTAATTAAAACCCTTTTAAAGGCCAATTTTAAGTAGTTGAGATAATAGATTGGAAACAATCCTCTGCAGTCTCTTTTCTCTGTCTTCCATCCTAGTTACCTATGTGAGAGAAGCTAAAGTCTTTGTAGATTCTTCCACATCTATATCTCTAAAGCATCTAATTCCTTCATCTATGTAATGCTCAGTTTGGTTAGATGTGATGCCGGAAATATTAAACCACATAAACCACAATGTTCATTTTTGATTACTGGTGTTGTACTCTTGATTCATTTATTTGCTTGCATATCTTCTCAAGGTTCTTTTTTTTTCCCTGTCTCGTGTCATTAAGAAAACTAGAAATATAGTGATGTATGGAGGATATTTTCCTTGTATATATGTCAAGGTGCGTCAAAGATCTCTGGTCTTTTTGATCAACTTTCATATTTCTATTCCATTAATAAACTAACAAGGAAATGAATTTGATAGATGATATATGGGCATTTGAATTATGAATGAACTTATCAGTAAGGACTAACGTTTTAGTCTGCAGTTTACAACTGAAGAGGACTAGCTGAGCTAGTAGTACAGATGTGATTGTAGCCGTAGCTTTATTTTGATCTTCTTGTATAAACTTTGTTAACAATTAATGTTTTGGGATTTCATGAATTGAATTATGCCTTTTGATATATTGGGAGTGGAAACTTGTGAAAATATGCATATTAATTAGTCTAGCATAGAATGAAAATGCAGATAAAAGTTCTGTCAAGAAGTTTGCATTATTTCATTGTGATGGTGCCTCTGCTGCCTTGTTCTTTACTGAGCTCTGTGCATTGGTATCAATTATAGGTGGTTTGCACGCTTGGTAGCATAGTGTTTGTAAGCATCTTGTTGATCCGTGGTATATGGTCGGGTGTATCCTATTTACAAGAAAGTCGCAAATATAGAGTGAATGAATTTGACGATGATGATCATGCATGGACTGGGGCACAGCCTGCATCATGACTTTGTCACTCTCATCTCTCAAAAAGCAATGGTTTTGGGCAACCCCTAACAAGTACAGTTTTGGATCTCAGAAGGGGGATGGAAGGATATGATGAGCAGATGGCTTCAGTTTTGATTCTTGTCTTGGGGTTGGTGCGAAGATGGCACCCCAATCAAAAGGTCTAGAAAGGGTGATCAATTCATATTTTACTGGAAATGCTGCCAATCTCTACTCGTTTTTTTGCTTCCACTTCACCGTTGAATACTCGACTCAAAATACATTGTTCGAGTTGAACTTGAGGGAAGCTCTTTTGAGCAGTAGGGTCATCCTTGCACGATGTAATAAAATACACCCAATTTACCATTTTCTCTTTCATGATTATGTGAGTTTTTAATAATTATTAGCCGTGGGATAACTCTGTTATCCTACATATCAGATTTTATATACAGGTTGGCACTTCGAGGATGTGTTCCAAATAAGGAATATATTGATTTTCTTTTTCAATTTTTTGATTCCTCTTTCTGTCGGTATGTATAACTTATCCACAAGGACGGCAAATGATTTGGTTTGCGTTATTCCGAATCAACCAATCTATGGTTTTGGCTTGAGCTCTTTCTTTTGGCTCCTATTAAACAGAAGAGCTAATCGTGCATTATGAGCGGTAGAGCTAGGGGTTCATATTAGCAAACACCGGTTGACTAAAATGACAAAATCGGTGTTGGGCCTACTTAATGATTCGTGTCCAGTCATCTATGGGTTTGTCCCATTGCGTTATTCTAAGATCAATTGCCACTAGTTGGAAAGAGAAATGCATACTGTCAAAGGCGAGGAATCACTTGAACTTTGATTTACTCTTCTATCAATCAATTCAATTCTATAATAAGTTACTCTTCTCGCAGTACTCCTTTTTAATTGCTAGATTTATGTGGCTCTTTCTCATAAGACACTGTCACTTATTACCTTTTAACTTTAAGGTAGTTAAACTAGAAAATTACCTTGATAAATTAAAATATATGAATAAATTACAACTAGCAAAGAAAAATGATCGACAGCATAAGATTTACTCTCATTATGTAAATATGATCCTAAATATGATTAAAAAGGACGGGACATTCAGAAATTCATATGATTTGACAAAAAATAAATGGAAATAAATAGAAAAAGAAACTTTCATAGAGACTCTAGCCGAATAGCTCTCTTATTAAAATTGCTGAATGTGTATAATAAATTGATTCATGACTCTGTCATATTTGTGCTAAACATTAGCTTCACTCCCTCCCTAATGAGATTGGCCATATAGTTACTTAAACATAGAACTATTAATAAATTAAATTTTAATTTGAATCAGATTTGAATTTAATTCAAATTTTATAATTTAAATTTAATTGAAATATTTAATAAATTAAATTTTATTGTAAATATCTATAATTCAAATAAGTGAATTGAATATAAAATTAAGTAATTTGATTGGTTAAACATCCGAATTTAAATTTTAATAATAATTTTAATTAAATTAATATATATATTTATATAATATTACTAATTTTGAATTAAATTAAAGAAATTAAAAAATTTAAAAATTAATGCGATGAAACAGAGTTATACAATTAGGTACAAAAAAAGTATTATTTACTTACTAAATTAAATTTTTTCTTATCATATTTCAGTTTATTTGTTAAATTCAGATATAAATTAATAGACATAAATTTAATAGAATTTCACATTGTATTTGGATATATAAATGGCAAATTGGATTTAAACATGAATTACCCTAATTTGATCAAAATTCGGCTTATTGACATTTTTACTTAAATCATAGAAAAAGGATACTATGTAATATTGAGAAATTTAGGACCCATTGGAGTAATTTAGCTTTGCACAAATTATTGGAGATGGAAACGGAAGGCATTTGAATGTGATTTACTATGTCTGTCACATGAATGCAGGACAGCCGAATAATCTGCCGCGGGGCGGCAAAATAATATGTTTAAATAGATGAAGTTGACCAGGGTCAAGTGAGGATGGTCAGGACCGCAGATCTCGGCCAGCCATCGATCTCTGCCGTCCGATCTTTCCTCGTGACCCAACCCTGGTTAATGTACCCCACGTCGATCCAGTATAAATTACGAGAACAGGGGAGCTTCTACTGATCGCGGAAGATCAATCTACAGAAGGCGTCTTCATAAACGCCTTCGTTTCTTTCTGCTTCTTGTTAGTTTTCGCATTTTCCTTCTCTTCAATCGTAATTTTTCGCCGTCCAAACAGCGGAAATGAGAGAGTGTATCTCGATCCACATCGGTCAGGCCGGCATTCAGGTTGGCAATTCCTGCTGGGAGCTTTACTGTCGCGAGCATGGCATCCAGGTCCGTTCCTATTGGTTGGCATACGATGGTTTAAATGCAAATTTTTACTTGTGCAACCAAACATGAATTCATGCTCTGTTTTCAATAAAAACTACAACAGTCTCTAATTTAGCATACTGAGAAGGAGACTGTTGCAGTTTTTCGTTGAAAACAAAGTCAAAATTTGCATTTGAACCAAATGCAAATTTTGATATATAATGGTTCAAATGTCTGTTATTTTATTAGATGCGTTGATATTGTGCTTGAAGGTCCACGGATCTCCAACGAAAACATATCCTCTCAGTCGGATTTTTGTTCGTTGTGAACCAAGGTGCTACTAAGGTTTGCAACTGTGTTCTAGGATACTATGAAGTAGATATGCAAGTTGTTGCATATCTTCTAGAATTTACCTGGATACTATGGATGCAGTGCGAGATAGTAAAACTTCCGGAGATTGTCTGAAATCAGTTATAGAAGTTATCTGGTTTGTAAATGTTAGTTCTGTTTAGGATTTGAACATTCATATCCACTAAGTTAATATTTTGCTAGAGCAGTTAAATTTAGCCTCACTGAATGTGATTTTGTTACTTCCGTAGTTTTTGTTCTGACCATAGTTATCAATTAGGAGCACATTCATGTCATTACATGTGGTTTGTTGCATTTTACGATCATTTTCATATGTGTAATTCTCAATGCAAGTCCCTTTTACGAATGGTTGGTACAAAGGCTATGATATATCTGGTTTTTGCGTACCTGGTTTTGTAAGTTTATTTGTTATTCTATTTTTCATTCATTGTTGCTTGGTGGAAGGGAAGTTACTTGAATTTAGATTGACAGGCTTATAGACTTATTATGCTATGGTGGTTTAAATTGTTAGTTGCGTTTTAAATTGTGAATGTCTTCTTCTCTAATCTGTAAAATGTTTCATACCTAGGGTTCAGGAACAACTTGGTAGTTTTTGCATGATAGGCAATTTAATAATTTGCCACCTTGTTTGCAGCCTGATGGCCAGATGCCAAGTGACAAGACCATCGGTGGAGGTGATGATGCATTCAACACCTTCTTTAGTGAAACTGGTGCTGGTAAACACGTGCCCGAGCGGTCTTTGTAGATCTTGAACCCACTGTCATAGATGAAGTGAGGACTGGTACCTACCGCCAACTTTTCCATCCAGAGCAACTAATCAGTGGCAAGGAAGATGCTGCCAACAACTTTGCTCGTGGTCACTACACAAGTACGTGTTTGTCATGATATATCTGTATTGGGTTTTTAAGTTTTGATTTGGCGCTTGACATTTTGGCATCAATTTTAATAAAGTAGCTGCTTGTTTCTTTTTGCCTTTCAGTTGGGAAGGAGATTGTTGAGCTCTGCCTCGACCGCATCCGGAGACTTGCTGACAATTGCACTGGCCTGCAAGGGTTCCTAGTTTTTAATGCTGTTGGAGGCGGCACTGGATCTGGTCTTGGCTCACTCCTTTTGGAGAGACTCTCTGTTGATTATGGCAAGAAATCAAAGCTTGGTTTCACTGTGTATCCCTCTCCACAGGTCTCCACATCTGTTGTTGAGCCATACAACAGTGTCCTCTCAACTCACTCCCTCATAGAGCACACTGATGTTGCAGTGCTTCTTGACAATGAAGCCATTTATGACATCTGCAGGCGCTCTCTTGACATTGAAAGGCCCACCTACACCAACTTGAACCGTCTTGTTTCCCAAGTATTGGATTTTCACTAGGCTGCTAAGATTGTGCCCAAGTCTCCATTATCTGGATGTCATTCTATATACTAACATATTTTCTGTGGATTTAGGTGATTTCTTCACTGACTGCCTCCTTGAGGTTTGATGGTGCCTTGAATGTGGATGTTACTGAGTTCCAGACAAACTTGGTGCCCTATCCCAGGATCCATTTCATGCTCTCCTCTTATGCTCCTGTCATCTCAACTGAGAAGGTGTACCATGAGCAACTCTCTGTTGCTGAAATCACCAACAGTGCCTTTGAGCCCTCATCTATGATGGCCAAGTGTGATCCTCGCCACAGCAAGTACATGGCATGCTGCCTGATGTACCGTGGTGATGTTCTGCCCAAGGATGTGAATGCTGCTGTCACCACAATCAAGTCCAAGCGCACCATCCAGTTTGTTGACTGGTGCCCCACTGGATTCAAGTGTGGTATCAACTACCAACCACCTACTGTTGTTCCGGGGGGTGATCTTGCCAAGGTGCAAAGGGCTGTCTGCATGATTTCTAACTCCACCAGTGTGGCTGAGGTGTTCTCCCGCATTGACCACAAGTTTGATCTCATGTATGCCAAGCGAGCTTTTGTGCATTGGTATGTTGGCGAAGGAATGGAGGAAGGTGAGTTCTCTGAAGCTCGTGAGGATCTTGCTGCATTGGAAAAGGATTATGAGGAGGTTGGTGCTGAGTTGGCTGAGGGAGAAGAAGGTGAAGAGGGAGATGAGTACTGAGGACAGTGGATGTCTTTGGGTGTGTTTCAACTACTATGCCATCTTATTGTATCATCTAATTTGCTGTGCTTGTATTCTCCCACTCTACCTTTGATTAGTTTGCCCTGCATGTATTCTCCTATTCTACCCTCTTCGAAATTTCCTATTTCGACAGTTTTGTCTCTTGTTTCTATGAATATTAATGCTAAATGTGGATGTTTGTTATCGTGATGGCTATTATTTCCTGTGATTGCGTACGTCAGCAAAATCATTAGTTCCTGTCGAATGTCTTTATCAATATAAGTTATGATATGGAAACTGCCTGATGGGAAAAAGCCACTGGATCTGCAGTGCATTGCAGGAGACATTAGGTCAAGATGTACCCTGGTTAGATTGCACCAAAAACCTTGGTTTAGACGGCCGCATTATAACCGAATGCTTAAAAATTAAGATAGTTGCCGACCGGGCGATAGTGGACTGAAAAATGCATGGTTAGCTTAAAACACGGAATTAGACTATCAGAGTTGATACTCAAAATTGGAACCGGGACTCAATTGAGAAGATCTTTGTGAATGCATCTGGCATTTAAACCCCAAAATTGATCAATGATCGAGCAGCTAGAAAACTACTCTGCTTTTCTAGCAGTTATTGACCTATCAAAAGCATCATCAAGGCCGTATTAATTTCCCTTTCCGAAAGTGGCATGTTCACTGATATTATCCAGGAGAAAAGATACCTAGTCTGACAATTATACAAATTGAATTTCCTTCTGATGAGATACATTGATGAGAGGAGTTCGATAACGACATTTTAAACCAAAGACAATGACAAAGAAAACTAATTTTCCTCGTAAGATTTTTACAGGGAAAGAATAGGACAAGGGCTACACCATGTTGACAGCAGAAGCAACTCAACAGCGAAGCAACTGGTAGCTGGACTAGTTAGTCCATCATTTCCCTTATGGAGCCATTTCGGTTATCCTTTCCTCTTCCAGAAGAGTGTAGGGGTTGATATATTGAGGTGGTGGTATGGGCGATCTGCTTGCATCATGAACAAATGACGGTCCAAAATACTGCCAAAGATACGCATCAACAACATTATTGGTGTCTGTTTTTCTGACATTTTTAGGTGGGGTGGGATTGAAATTTACAAAAACGTCATTGTTGTATCCCACTGACAGGAAATAAACAATCTTACATACGTTTGGGAGAGAAAAGCATAAAGAAGAAGAAGGCCAATGGTTCAAAAGTTAATGCCATATGAATCCTCAGAGTGCATCAAAATACTGTATTCATATACAAATGAACAAGAGAGGCTAAGGAAAACTGATCTGTTAGTTCTGTCATTGCTCAGAATTTAACATACAACTATGCAAATGCATGGTATGGTCCCAGAAGCTTCCTTGCTCCAAATAAAACCATGTATCAACTCAGATGCGCACAACAGTAGGACCAGTTTCCAAATGATAAAGAAGACAAACTACCAGAATCCAACAAGAAATTTAGCTATGAACTCTTCCAAAATTGTCAGTACTTGCAGATATGATAATTATGGCGCTAGTTCTAGTGGTACAATGATACTTGTGTAGTTGTGGAAACATCTATATTTAACTGATATATTCTCATGTTGATAAGCATATAATTGAATGCTTATCGATACAAAATTCTATGCCCATGATTATATTTTGCAAGTTCTTAGGTTTGAAAGTATATATTTAGCTCAGTAAATGAAACAGATTTTCCATCTCGCAGACTTAGAAAAGCACATGAAATGCATGTTTTGCTGACTAACTGGTTTTTATAAGCAAAAAACCCTCATAGTCCCAGCTAAAATCAAATGGAACTACGTTCCTGTTTGTTAATGCAGCATTTCTTTTTCAATTTTTACCTTTCAGGCTCCTGGTCCTATTCATCATATTCTGAAAATGGGTTCAATTGGTTTGTTCATACTCCAGCGGTAACTTACCAATCTAGACTCATAAAATTTGGTTGATGGTGAATTCTTTTCAGGTCACAATGCAAACTAATGTGCAGACCTTAACACCATATTTGACATCAGGACTGCGATTAAACTTGAACATGAATATGCCTCAGAACAAAAGCTTCTTGAAAAAGCTTCCAATATTAAGTGGTTCCTACCAACTCCATTACATAGGCAAAATTTTGTTCAAGTTTATAATGCATTCAGAATGCCTCATAACATAACACAAAAAATGGTAATCACTTTTCGTAACTGAATTATGTTAACCAAAACAACTCAGAAAAAAAAATTAAAGGTGAAAGAGAAGAAAGAAGCTTACGATATATAGAGCAGAGAAGAATGCAACTGTGATAAGAATTAAAGGCCCAAACCCCAAGAAGAATGTCCCTCCAAGGGATAGCAAAAGTTTAGCCCTTGGAATCAAACCCTGAAATGAAATAACAAGCAGCAAAGTCACTTCCTTGCAGCAATGCATGGACAGAAAGAAAAGCATGGTATGTAAGTTCTATCCAATAATAAGCAAGAGATGGAAAATGGATGAACACACAATTAAAATTAAATTACCGAGGGAAAAGCATGCCTAATAAGAAATTGGGTAGCATTTTCTAATAACATTAGATCACAGAATCAGATCAGTAATTGTTACCTCTGATGCAATCAGCAGTAAAGAGAAGGGAATTTTGTTAAGTATGCATACTCACTGTAAGTAATGGGATCTTGGAGAAGTCTTTGCTGAATAACTTCTGATCAATACTTAGGACTGAAGAAAAAGGACTAGAACTAGTTTTTTCACATTAAGATAGAGCAACAACAAACTACAACTTAAGCTTATTTATACATACATGTGACTAAACATCCTTCAAATACTCCATTGTATGGGCAATACTGATCATAACTGGTGACAAAAGACAGCCATTATATAATAGAAATCCTTACGCAATGTCATCATTCTCATTCACATAACTTCAACAGGTCCATTAGGACAAGATTCAAAGAATTTTCTCTTCAAATTTTGTAAAGATTGCCTGGTTCCTTGTCTTCCTTGTAGTTTATTTTGATTCATACTAGTTTCTTCTTTGATATGTCATTCATCAAGTCCAATTCTTGGCATCAAGAGAAATTTTGGTTAGACATTATAATCAAGATTTCATGCGATGTTTGCAATTTATAATTAGCAACAACTATCACATTCCTTGTGTTTTATCCAGCAGTGGCACATTAATGCAGATTACCTTGTATGGCATTGTATAAAGCCACTGAAATTCAAGGGATATTGATTCAATTTTTTTTTTTTTTTTAAAAAAAACTGAAGACAAATAATTCTAGGTAAGCATTGTGTAGTGGGTCAAAAAAGAAAAAAAAGAAAAAAAGAGGTAGCAAATACTTTTCACAGAGGAACGTTATTAAAACATGAATAACCTCTGATGTATATAAGCTTGAGATGAACATCTATATCTAGGACCAATCAGTTCTCTACAATGGAACCTAAACAACTGAAGAATAATAAAGAAAGAAAGAAATGGTGCCAACCTCAAGTCCTTCACTGTTCAGTGCCATGGAACGTTTCCTTTGATCAGACAAGCTTTTCTCATAATCTGTTGAGACTGCATTTCTTTTAGAATACCCTCCCTCTTCTTCTTTAAACTTCATCTCCTCATCTGCATAGGTGCTCCTATTGCTTTCCTCAAGCAATGAAGAGGGAGTCATACCCCGTCTCTTTAATTCTTTCATAAACAATGACTCAGGAGGTTCTTCACCTGCAGAGTAAAGGAAATATGAGACCAACCTACTATAGTTTATCTACATCTTTCTTTTCTTTTTTTTTTCATTCTTTTTTTTTTTAATTTTTATAATGGAAGATGGCCTTGTACAGTTTTTAACGCATTAGAGGAATCTCTAGACAAAAGTGTAAAGGCATCTGAGCTACCAAAAGCTACTGATACTTCCTACAAATAGAAAATATTCACCCTTGTGACAGCTATTAAGTTAATAGAGGACATAGTTTGCATACCAAATGTTACAAGTAACTATAAAAACTCACACCTAGATTTGCCAAGTTAACCTTAACTCCGATATCTATCTGCCTTAAATGCCATAATTTAGACAGCATTGCATAACCATGACTAAGCTGCCATTTTCTATCAACTTCATATTTTATCTCAATAATCTAAACAAATCTACTCGGATAGCTAAAAGAATCTTGCACCAATAGCATTCCTTCTTACAGAGCACTTTCAAATTTCTGAGGGAAGGGGGCATTTTGAACGTGGGGTTTAACCAATAGATGCATGTTATATGCCAATCTATATTTTAGATAGCATGAGATCTCTCCACGAAAGGGCATTTCTTGTTTCAGTTGAATATATCAAAGATATTGATATATAAATCTAACGCTTAACCGGCTCACAAATGGCATCCTTCCTGTCAGTCAACTCTACTATTACAAGTAGTAAGTAGTTTCTAAGTAGTGTACGAATATCCTTCACAAAAAGTTAATAATAATAATAATAATAATAATAATTTCCTTTACTGCAAATATTGCCACTCAACTAGGAGAGGGGTCCAATGTATGCATGCGGGTAAATGTAAGATCTTTTAGCACAAGCAACGCTACATTATAAGTTAACTCCAATATATTTATATGCGCATTAACCTGCTTAACAGTCATTGTCATCAATTTTCCCTCAAGTCAGAAATTTTCAGCTACTCAAGTAGAATAAAAACTGCCCTACACTTTAGGATCTATTACCATTATGTACTATTTGCCTGGTTGTTTGGTTCAAAAGAAATGGATGGGCTTTTTCGGAAAAAAGATTTTGCCTTTTCCAGGCAAAAAAGCAAAAGCTCTCAGAACAAGCTATTTTCCCAGTTAACCAAATGGCCAACATAACCAAATTACAGCTTATTTTATGAAAAATCTTCTGCAAAAGGGTCAAATTACAGATGAGAGTGAAAATTGTGGGTCTTAGTCTATTTTGTTCCATGTCTTTCCAATTTAAATCCAATCAACAATCTTAACTCCAATTCGCACTTCCAAATCAATATAAAGATGATATTTGGCAGCATATAAACATCCCGAGACAAAATTGATTGAAAGAAAACAGAACTGTGAAGAAAACAAGTGAAAAGAAGACCACTAGGAACATCAGCAGAAAGATTAAAACTCAAACAAAAATTACATGGAAGAGAAGAGAACTGTAATAGAAACTTACCATTGCTTTTATTGTCATCTTCTTGGAGCTCGCAAGAGACTCTAAACCTTCTGTAAATTGCGGTAGAGGAGCTCCGGGGACTTGGAAGCTACGGGTATGAAATTCTGGACAAAGCCAGCGCGACTTACGGCAAGGATTGGAGTGAGAAATGGAGAAGGGAATCATGCTGGATTTAAAAATCTGAAGAGAAGCCATGTTTGATTTCGCGGGTATTCTTGATTTTGTCAATGATTAGCCAAATAATAGTTCCATTAACGGAAGCGAGGTTGAGTGTGCGATCAGACTTTCTAGAGGGAGAAAGGGAAGCAGAGAGCAAGTGCGACGAAGCTCCGGAATTTTGCTCTGTGGTGGGGTATTCTAGAATTGTCAAGTTCTGCCGCCTATCATGCGGGCGAGATTTTGTGGCTTCCTTTTGTGGCTGGCAAACAGGGAGAAACGTTTTGGGAATGAAAGCTAGCATGCTCCTGGAAGCTTGTTGCAAGTCGTCGAGACCAATAATATTACGCCACGAAAGTCCTCAATGTCCTATGGGTAGAATCCATTTTATCATTGTAAATTTTAGCAGGGGTGCTGGTTATTCGGTTTATTTCCGTTTGAGATTCATCCCTGTATTAAATCATAATTTATGTTTGACAATTTTTAAGAATTAAATTAAATTACAAACTTAAGAATTAAATCAAATTAAATTATGATTCAATTTAAAATTATAATTGGTAAATTAAATTTATCGTATTTTTTACCAAACTCTTTATCTTAAATAATTGTAAATTGGTAATATAATTAATTAAATTTGATAATTGAAAAGAATTATCGTTAAAAAATTTAATAAATTGAATAAATTAAATATTAACTGGTATATAATAAATTTAGAAAGATATTTGAAAAAAAAATTAGAAACTTGGATGATTTAAAAAATAGAAAAATAAAAAAGAAAAGAAAAGGAGACTGATTAAAGTGACCCAAAAAAAAAAGAAAATAGAAGGACCAGAATAAAAGAAGAAAAAGTTGAAGGATTAAACTGTAAACCCATATATAGTTTATAATTTGATTTAGTTTATATGGTTCAATTTGATGGTCAAACTATAAACTGAACCATAAGAGAAAAAATTTAATTTAAACTGAATCAAGCCAAACTGTGACTCATATGAAAGTGAACCAAACTACAATTTGGTTTTGATTTACTCGGTTTAATCAGTTTGACTTAGGCCTCCTTTTATAAATACTAATAAATTAAATTTAAAGTAATTTAAGTTAGGATAATTGAAAAATGAATTTGAAAAAAAGTAAATTGAGAAAAATGATTTTAAAAAAATAAAATAAATTTGAGAAAAATGATTTAAAAAAAATTATGGCTATATAATTCCTTTTAACTTTCATATTAAATTAATTTTAATCTTAAGAACTTATGTGGTTAATTTGCAATTGTGATGCTTTTCTTGATATCATTATAATATTTTCTTATTATTTAGATATAAACATCTACAAACACCTCTACTTAATCTATGTGAGGTTCCACAAAGAATTTTGCTAGCACTATTCTTGATGGTTTAAAAAAAAAATTATGGCTATATAATTCCTTTTAACTTTCATATTAAATTAATTTTAATCTAAAGAACTTATGTGGTTAATTTGCAATTGTGATGCTTTTCTTGATATCATTATAATATTTTCTTATTATTTAGATATAAACATCTACAAACACCTCTACTTAATCTATGCGAGGTTCCACAAAGAATTTTACTAGCACTATTCTTGATGGTTTGCGGACATAGGAGGTCATTTAAGCAACCACAACATTCGGCAAAAGGCAACTTTAACATTCGGCAAAAAGCAACTTTGACCTCAAAAGTAGCTCATGTGGTTAATTTGCAATTGTGATATTTTCTTGATATCATTATAATATTTTCTTATTATTTAGATATAAACATCTACAAACACCTCCACTTAATCTATAAGAGGTTTCCACAAAGAATTTTACTAGTACCATTCTTGATGGTTTGCGGACATAGGAGGTCATTTGAGCAACAACAACATTCGGCGAAAAGCAACTTTGACCTCAAAAGTAGCTTATGGGGCAACAAATAATGTGGCCTTTTCTTATTTTGGTCACAATCGGAGTAGGTATTCTAGTTGTAACTTCCCTACATTGACACACTGACTGTTCCATTCGAGAAATCCCCAATATGTATTTTGCTCCTGCTTTGTATATCCTCTGAAACATGCTTAATGGTTTTTGATTCCTAACACGTCTTGGAAGTTTCATGTTGCTGCTATTTGGATTAACAACATATCAAATCCATTGGCACTATAGAAGCTGAAGAAAATTGAACTTAAAAAAGAAGAAAGGAAAGCATTCGTCTTGTAATTTAGGTTTCTTTTGAACATTATGAACCCATATATAAATAACCCAGATGATCAATTTAGAGCCACAACCCACTGAAGCTATGGATCGAAGAATTCATCCACCATGGTGAAAAGTGAGCTCGAAACAGGGGTACGAGGAAAATGACAGATGACAGAGGTAGTGCCTATATTATAATAAAATCAATCCAAACAAAATCTGAAACTGATCAGGTCTTTTTGGTCACACGTTAGATCTGCACATCTATGCAACAATGAGTCAGAGAAAGGAGTCCTGAATTTCCATATATAGGGCTGATAAACTCCAAAATTCTGGACAGAATTGCAAAATTTTGAAGTTAGGTGGGGCAAAGCCTAATTATGTTAGGCCCTAATTATTTTCAAATTTTACTGTGAATCCGCCACTGCTTGATTCTTGATCCTGCTAGACCGCCTCACTGGAGTAATTATCTCTTCATCCCCAGCTCCCTAGGAGTCACAAAACCAGCAATTTATTGTGTAAGAAGCAGGACAAGTATCTAAACCAGCAGCAAAACAATAACTAATTGCTGTTTGGTTAGCAACAAATTTTGGAACTTGGGACTTTTTGTCATCGAATTGAACAACCATTTTTTATTTAGTTATCTTTAGTTTTCCGTGTTTTAATTACCTGCAAAAAAATTCTGCCCTAGGGGGGTTTTGTAGGATGAAGTCAAAAAACCCTAGAAAGTCCGAACATTTTGAACAATGAACAAGAATTTAAGGGGGAAGTGAGAGAATTGATACTTACATGCTTGTTGGGAATCTTCTCGTAGGTGGTGAAGCTGCCATAGGAAGGGGAACCCATGGAGTACTCCGACGATGAAGCCAATGACTCCCTCTTAGAGACCCTCTTCTGCCTCCTCTCTTGGCTCTGAGCCTCATTTAATCCTCTCTTGCTGTAAGAAGAGCTTGTTTGGAAGCTGCTCATTTCCGATGGACATGACTCTCCAATTTCATCTTCTTCTTGGTGGTTCATATTCTCTGTGCTAGCACTCACCAATTCCTTCTTAGCCAACAGTGGGTCTTCAACAACTGCAGGAATTTGAGCTCCTACTCTCCTCTGCTTCAGGTAGAGGAAAACCAAAGCTGCAAGTAGAGCCAAAGCAAGCAGAG